GGTGACTCAGCCCCCTCACCCGGGCAGAAACTCAAGGAAAAACACACAGAATAAATCCAAACCGAGTCCAAGCATTAATACTGTTTCGAGTACAGTCCGCCCACGGCTGGGACAAAACGTTTCGCACACTATCTGCTGCTCATTGCGTTATTCAACAGACCGCGGTAGCCGCAGTCCTGGGAAATCCCCGCGGTCCGCTACTACTATACGTCTGGAAGCTGTTTTCTGGTCGCGCGGCCGCACAAGGAACGCGTCCCCTTGTCAACAGGCTGCCGTCGATATACAAGTAGCAATAACACTTCCAGAGGTGCACCAGAACGCCGCGCATCTACCCCCTCCCTCCCTCTCTCTCTCACTCTCTCACACAAACACACCACGCAATGTAGCGACCTCCCGCTGGCCATGCTTCATTCTCCAGCAAAAGCGTTTCCCCCTCGGAAAAGGTATATTGCGCTCAGCCTACACAGACAACCGACAGGCGCTCACTCGGCAAGCGCATGCAAGTGTTCAGCACCGCAAAGTTAAATACTTAGGTGATAGACTGAAAATTTAAACACTTCGCAATGTAGTTGATCTGGAAAGTGAAACACTTAAAGATCTGAAACTCTAATGTCGTACCCCCCCCCCCCTTAAAAAATGGTCAACTTTTCCACATTTCAATAGTTAACACGTTCAAGCGCGGCTGTGCGGCTGTGTATTTTGGGGTCTGGAAAACCCAGAAAAGCGTGAACACATTGTAGGTGTGATTTGTTTGATATGAATATCAATTGCCTCAAGGCAAAAATGATGCTAATTATTATTCTGTTTGCTGAAGACCCCCTAGGATTAAACGCGGAAATGGTGAATTTACCCTTCTTCCCTACTTGACGTGAACCACATTTTTATTGATGACCTGCAAGGAGTGTCGGATCGTTTCAGACACATACGGGAATGGTAAGCAAGTGCGGGGAAGGGAGGTGGAGATAAAGAATGACAAAGGCAAAAGAGAGAGAGAGAGAGAGAGAAAGACAAGGAAAACTGGACAAAAAAAGGAGCAAAAGTTGACATCATAACGACGTGACCACGGTGTCCTGCGACTCGACGCGTCCACTGTGGACGTGCAGCGACTGGGAACAAAGTGCACTGTGAGTGTGTGAGCAAGCGTCTCCGCCCACACTGAAAAAAGGAGGCAAGTCGGAAAATTCATATGCACCAGGTGCTCTTGGGGCGAGCGAGGTGCCGGGCGCTAAGTGGCAGCGAGGCGCCCCTGTTATCAGATTAAATATTCATCCAACGGCAAAACCATATTTTCACGTCTAAGGAAGGCGAGCAGTGCGCGCTTCT